GAGACCAGAACGGCAAAAGATGGTTTGGATTAGTCACTTACTTCCCGAGTTGTTACTGATTCTAAATTAGGGCCGCCTTCACGCGAGCACCGGAAAGATTTTGAATAAATCGTCAAACTACTTGCACCTCCTTCAGAATTCATTGTACTTAATTTTACTAACACCATTTGCCATTGCATCCTTGTGTATTTTGGAAAATTCGATTCTAAAGGATCACGGTCAACCTCATGAGGGAACCGAAAATAGTTCAAATAAACCCAGGTATATCGAGAAAAATTTGCACGCAACCACTGTGAAGGCCAGATCGTCTCTGGACGATAGAAGAATATAACTACGCAAGAGCAAATTAAAGAAGGAATGGAATTAGAAGTCCATCCGTGATCTCAATTTAAGCGCAAAAACTCATTAAAACGATGTTACTTAAATGACATGTGTGCCACATATAAAATGACCGACTTGTTTAAAAAGGTAACACGATTCATACATGGGCTGTACGGCATACGCGGTATCGATACTCTTTCCTAATCTAAGCATTACACTGATTCATTAAAACACCTGTGCTCAAAAAAGGAAAGATCGAAACTGTCCCAACCAACTACTCAACAAATTCTATGCGAAAGCTTTGAATGAATCCGATAGTCAGTAATCACCATATCAAAAACAATGTAAATACTTTAAATGAGTAGCTATCTAATCGTACAGTTGCCTACGTCATACGAGTATCTCATCAAGCAAATAAAAGTTAGATTGTAAGTAATAACGCAATTGGTACTTTTGTGACCACTCATTGGTGTACCAATATTATGTAAGTACATGGTTTTTCATCGATATGCTGCAAAACTAGTTCACTGCATCTTTCCCATTAGCGCGATTTTTTTTTTTGAAAAAACAGAGCCTCACTGGTTACGCACCTCATAGACGTTCGTAAATTCACGAGGTGTGAAATTAATTCACCTTTAATAAACTAAGGAGAAAAATTAAAAATCGCACACCAGGAAATAACTCTTGGCACGTAATCATATTTTTAAAGGATGAGGTTGAGAAACCACAATTGACCGATATTATAAAGATGCACACGTTTGCCATAATATTATTGCATTTTGCACCAGGTTCCTCGTACAATGAAGATCGTTATCATAGGGGCCGGCATTGCCGGTGTTGTCACGTTGAAGTATGCTTTGAACGCTGGACACGAATGTGACGTCTTCGAGCAAACAGGGGAGTTAGGAGGTACCTGGGTGTACAGTGATCAAACCGACATGGACGAATTTGGCTTTCCAAGTCATAGAACAATGTACAAGGGACTAATGTAAGTAGAACACTTGCAATTTCAACTTTGTAACGTAATCCATACAGAACAAATTTGCCCAAAGAAGTAATGGAGTTCCACAATTTCCGCTACCCATCTGCGGTCGAAAAATCCTTTCTGACCCAACCGGAAGTTTTGCACTACGTACAAAGTTACGCGTATCAATATAATTTACATAATAAAGTTAAGGTAACACTGGCTTACACTAAAGTGCGAGGTAAATAGTGATTTTAGTATTATAAACGCGTAACCAAGGTAGCACCAGTGGGCACTCAATGGTCTCTGACTGTCTTGGACCTCAAGACCAAAGTGGAAACGTCACTCCGTTATGACGCCGTTTTTGTTTGCAACGGACATTTTTTTCACCCCCATATCCCAAACATTGAAGGCCAAGACATCTTTAAAGGATCGCAGTTGCACAGCCGTGACTACAGGACACCTGAAAAATTCAAAAATAAACGAGTTTTAATAATCGGCGGATCGTACTCTGGGAGCGACATTGCAAGTCACATTTTATCATCTGCACGAAGCGTACGCCTAGTTACCCTTAAACCAAATTAAATTCTAGTACTTTTAGGTGAAAATGAGCCACCATTCGCCCATTACGATACGGCTGGCCGATGGTGTCACCACAAAACCGGCAGTTGTAAAACTCAATGAAAATCAGGTTATGTTTAGTGATGATAGTGATGAAGAGGTAGATGTCATTCTCTATTGCACTGGTAAGTTGGCAAGTGAAACAAAAGGAACTGCACTTCAATTCTCAGGTTATAAGTATTTCTATCCGTTTTTGACCGAAGAATGCGGGATAAAGGTCGAAGATAACTGGGTGAGAAATCTATACAAGCATATTGTTAACGTAGAAAGGCCAACTTTATTGTTCATTGGTATACCGTTTCTAACGTGTGCCTTTCCGACGTGCGATATTCAGGTAATACAAAACTTCTTGTCGTTGAATAATAGCACCACGTCTCCTTACCATAAGAAACAAGTAGTGTCTATTCTTTGGTGACAAGGCGATAAGCCATTATTTTATTTATCTTTCGAAATTAATTCCGCAGGCTAGGTTTGCTTTGGCGACATTGGAAAAGAAAGTCGCCCTACCTTCAAAAGAGGAAATGGTTAAGGAGTTAAATGAGCACGTAAATAATCTCAGAAGACATAATATTCCCCAAAGGCATATTCATAAAATTGGTTCGTATTTTGGCGAGTACCTTAACGATCTTGCCAAACTTGCCAAGATAGAACCGCTCCCACCAGCTGTAATTAAATTATACAAGCATTTTATTGAGGATAAGCCTATTAGGGAGGCTACAAGGAAATATGTTTTGGTGGACAATGAAAATTATAAGGAAGAGCTATTGTGTTAAATTCTTTATACATTAAATAAACCATTTGTTTAACAATAGTTACGAATTATTCATAATCGAGTTTAAATGTGACGTCAGTGGCTTTAAGACTACACTCCCCTTCTCCGTGTGCTTTTCTGTGATCGCCTGCGCAAATTTTTGGAGGTAATTAAGGAATTCGTTTCTCCTAGACGTTGTTCTAATGGAGCTCTGGTACTCTTCCTGTGGACGCTACCGTTTGCCATCATTGCTCCCAACTGATTTCTGCAAAAGCATTCTGAATATGCAGCAATTCCCATTATGGCCAATTTGCACTATACTTCTTTCAAGATGTGTCCTATACCGATTTTACGCTAAAACATTATTCTCTTTGGATCCTTGTCTTGTGTTTTCCATCGAGTTGCTGGTAGATCTGCGATAATTGCCATTGAGTGTCTGATTTCGATTCGCTCGTTAGGCTATCAAAGTGTATTCAGTTTTACTTCGGAATTTCTTTTAAGTTTCGGACAAAAAATATCGCGCAGGACAGGTACTCGAAAGCAAATACTGTTGTGTAAACTGCAGGAGGTGTCGTTTCAATTCCGAAGATGAGAGCGAGCCACCTCATAGTTAAAAATGTATGTTGTTAACGTAATTTCTGTTTAAGTAAAGAAAATAGCAGTCGGAACATCCTGTATGTAAAATGTTTCTATACTTCATTCATTATAAGAAGGTAGTAGATGGCGCTGTGTTTGAAGATAAGCACACAGGAAAAATATAAAACGGTATCAAATTATTCTAAAGTAGAAATATCCAGTACTGCAAACAGAAATAAATCTTTGACATTAGCAGTTAATGACACTTCCAACAGTTTAGATGGCCACAGAAACTACCAGCTTGCAAAATTCGCCACTCGTTTTATGTTTCAGCGTAATAATGACTCGTGTTTTAACCAATCACACTGAAGGTCAAAGCTTCCCTATGCTTTGTACCGCTACCCTCTTAAAATGAATACAGTATAGTTTGTTTATATACATATATCGACGGCACTCATTTGATGAAGGTAATTTTCGGCTAAGTTAGCGCCAAAGTATATCGGACCCTTTGTTATCTTTCAGAAAGTTTTGCCGTGGATGTTCGAACTGAAAGATATAGATTGTAGGTTTAGGGGACCTGGCATGTAAAGAACTTGTGACTTTATCCAGATTAGCGAGTCACTTTTATTTTTGGGTTGCTTGGTTGGGGACGTTGGACGATCCATTTTAGGGGTTGTATCCACTGTTTCTTTTCCTTTAGAATACAATTCCCTGTTCAAAGAACAGAGCCTTTCATATTTAGCTTTTATCCTATTTTATTTTTGGGGTAGGTTTCTCGCACTCTTCTGGGTTAGGAATGTTTACGTTATACGTTCTGGGTTGGTTGTTGGTCTTCATTGTAAGAAACCGGGTTGGGATGTGTCGGGGTTTAGGATCGGTCTCCTGGATGAATGAAGTGTGTTTGTGTGTTGGTGCGAGTTGACAAAGATACCCTACCTTCTCATATTATTCCCTTTCCTTACTCAGCTTGTGATCCCGTTAACGTAGTGATACTCCCTTTTTTTATTTTAATCCTGGTTTTTTTTGGGAGGGCTAACTGTTTTGCTGCATTCTTGGGGCTGAGACGCGGGTGTGGATATTAAAGAGAGTTGGAACTAATCTTTGGTTTATCGTTTTCTACTCTTATTGCTTTCATTAATTTCCCCTCTTTGTGAGAATTCTGAGCTCTCGGGGCAAGTTGCTGGCAGTTGTGCCCCCCTTCCGACCCTCCCTTTTATCTAGGTTAGGCAGAAGCTCGAGAACGGTGTGTCAGTGCAGCAATATTGGAGTTTTATTTCGTTTCCTTTAGGAAACTCTTGTGATGCCTCTGAGGGTCTTCGATACTATCGGCACTCGTGGGGGCGTAGCAACTCTGGCATTTTTTCAGTTTATTAAGTGGGGCAATTTGTTCTCCGTTTGGTGTTTGTAAACTTGTTTGTTCAGGGGGAGGGGGTGTTAACTTGATTCGGCGACATAGTCAGAGTTTTGTTGAATTGTTGGTACAAATTTTGGTATAATTATTGTTGTGGCCCAGAGATTTACTGTTTACCATTTTTTTTGTATATACTATTATTATGTGTCCTTTACATAGATTTGTAGATCACATATTGACCTTAATAAATATAATTAATTTACAATTAAGAAATATCTGACTTAATAGGACCAAGTTCAACATTGTATCACAATATTATCTAGTATCTCATTCGTATTCGATCTTATAGCAGTATGGTAACTCAAAAAGGTAGGAAACTATTTTTAAAAATGTAGGCATTACTAAATTTTGAAGTCTGTTTATTTGTACATCGCGTACTTCATTTGTAAAAAAAAGCCCAACAACAATGCACTCTCTTTCAAATTGAATAATTGAGTCAAAACGAAGTAGAAAATCGTAGTGTGATAAGAAACTATTATAAATCTCTTGATGACTACGTACAGTAGGTAAATACAGTATCATATTGCTTGCAAAATGAGAAGGCAAATATTTGGCTTTAATCACTTCTTACAAAAATCTAAAAAGAAACAAACTCAAAAATGTTTGCCTTTCGAAAATTCCGCTTTACATTTTGCAACATTATTTCAAAATAAACATCGTATCTCTAAAGATAACCGGAGCACGAGAAACATTTTCTGGTCTACTAAAATGATTGCAAAACATTATTATTAAAGGATATTCTTCTGCAATATATTTACCCTTGTCATTTTTGAAAAGTAAATTGATTCCAAACTGTTCTGCTTAGAAAAATACTGGAAAACTACTAATTATTTTTTAGGCGAACCTGGGAAAGTAGCAATAATAGGGGCTGGCGTGTGCGGACTGATCTCTTTAAGGTATGCCAAAGAGTCTGGCCACCAATGCGATGTCTTCGAGCAGACTGGGGAGTTTGGAGGTACGTGGGTGTACACGGATAACTACGGAATAGACGAAAATGGATTACCCATTACTAGAAACCTTTACCAGGATTTAATGTAGGTGTCGGTGTACAATAGCTAGTAGTACCTAGTCCTTTTGCGTAATAGTGTTTTTACTTTTTAATCACAGAACGAACGTGCCAAAGGAAATGATGGAATTTCTTAATTTTCGACATTCGTCCGATATCAATGAGTCTTATATTACTCAACCATTGGTTTTGAAATACTTACGCGACTTTGCAGATAAATTTGATCTGGAAAAACATATTCAGGTAAATAGTTTTCTCAATAACATCACCTAAAGTACTACTTCTAGTATTACTCGTATGTTACAAAAGTGGAACCGCATGACGATCGATGGACTGTAACAGTTAGGGACGTTAAACGCAAGGAAGAACGATCAGAATGTTACGACGCGGTCTTTATTTGCAATGGCAGCTTCGCCCATCCGCGTATGCCGGAAGTAAAAGGCGAGAAACTGTTTAAAGGTTTGCTATTTCATAGTTGCGATTATAGAAGTACAACATTGTTTGTAAATAAAAGGGTATTAGTCGTCGGCGGTTCTTTTTCTGCCGTCGATATATCACGCCTAATTATACCAGTTGCCCAAAAGGTAACGTTAGGTAGGTATTAAGAACGACTAATCATCTATCGTGTACCTACCTATTTCAGGTATACATAAGTCATCCTAAGCCACTACTGATAAACGTAGAGAACGCAATCCTAAAACCGGGAGTAAAGGAACTGAACGAAGGGGGAGCAGTGTTCATTGATGGAAGCAAGGAAGATTTTGACATAATAATGTATTGCACTGGTAATTCTACAGGAACCAAAAAAGATCACTCCAAGAACAATTCCAGGTTACAAGCACTTCTACCCGTTTCTCACGAAGGAGTGTGGAATTACAGTTGAAGACAGTTGTGTGCAGTACCTCTATAAACATGTCATAAATATTGAAAGGCCAACTTTATTCTTCATTGGTATACCCACATTAGTTGGGGCGTATATCAATTCTGACTTGCAGGTTAAACAACACTGATAAAAGCAATTACCGAAAAAAAAATGTTGTAGGCGCGTTTTGCTGTGGCATTTCTTGATGGAAAGTTTAATCTGCCTCCAAAAGACGTAATGCTTAAAGAGATTCAGGACCATTTCAAGGACCTAGAACACAAAAACCTTCCACTGAGGTATTTCCACAATATTGGACTGGAGTTAAGGGCATACATGAGCGATCTATGTCAAATTTCTGGCATTGAACCATTTCCAGAAGTTAAAATTCGTATTCACGAACATGTAATTAATACCTTGGTTACTTGTAAAAGAAACACAAAATATGTAATTATTGATGAAGAACAATTTGTTGAAGTTTAATAAAGTTACGATCGATCAATTTTACACACCTTAAGGGGTTGATTACCTACCAGATCAGTATAGATTGTCAAACAAATGTTTTCATTTGGTATTAGTTTTACTTTTATTCGAAGTACCTATATACAAAATTTCATTTAAATGTCTTAACAAATAAAAAAATTGGGTTGCGCAATAAATACCAAAGCTGGGTTGCGCATGCGCACATTTTTTGAATTCGCCTGCATAGTGGCTTGAGGTATAAGGAATATTTACTAACACAGAAAAGCGAACACTCATATGTGTTTGTAACAAGGATGCTAAAGGAACCTCTTTTTTGGAGGTTTGGTCAGTTTTTGGGCTGTAACTTTTTGGCCCGTTAGTCTAACTGAAAAACAATAGCGGTCTTTCTTATATCTTTAAGAACGTCCGTAGCAATTTTCAATGCGATCCAACGTTTCTAAACAAAGTTTGCGTGCACACGGACAGACGGACAGACCGACAACAGACACACAGACAACATAGAGACAAACAATACACAACTATAAACGGCTTCGGGAATAGTTAATAAGAGGAAAAGTGTAAAATTATAATACATGAAAAATTAACGGACGGGCGGACAGACGGGCGGACAAGGTGGCCACAATAGCACATATTTTAATTTTTATGCAAATGCGCTAAAAATTTGTCTTGGTATCTTATAAAGGGTTGAAGATTTTCTACGATTCGTGGTGTAAATTTTTCTTGTAACTTCTTCGTCTAGTTATGTGGAAGTACTTTTGGAACTTTTTGTACTTTACTTCCAGCTGTCTCAGATAAAAATAGTTTAAAAGAGTAAAGAATTTAGTTAATTTCTATTTCACTGAATGGTTTATAATTTGTAACCAAAATTTTGAAAGATACTGATTTAGAAATTTATACTTCAATATGTTTTGGAGAGTTTAGGTAATTTGCATTTAGGCCTCTCTTTGACACAAAAACTCTTATTAAATGTTGAAATAATGGAAACAAAATTCTGACAACCGCAATAGTTATTTATATAACAAGAGCGCGAAGTTCAATTTCGCGCATTGAGACTGAAGGTATTTTGACGAGGCGAAGCCGAGTTAAAATATCAGTCAAATGCGCGAAATAACGCTAGCGTTATATACAATATTTTTTCTACAACTGAACCGATTGTTAATTAAATTTGCTGTTTAAGTTCAACTTTGTCCCGTGCGCGAAATACTTTTTTTCACTGTTGACGATTTCGCGCACGTTGTCAAGAGCAACCTTGCTTATTAATTAACCGATTAAAAATCTAGTACTTCGCGTTTCGAAATCCGTCAGAAAATGACAGGTTTTTTTGACAGTTGTAGAAAAAAATATTTTAACCTAATAAACAACTAGATAACAACAAAAAACAAACAAATGTGGGCTTCACTCTACGATCATTATTATCACTTCTCACTCTTTCCTTCTCTAAGGTCTTATTTACTGGTTAACACTGACGCGACATCAGCATTTGACCTGGAACCTGAAGTGACATACAATGGTGCTTAGTGGTGGACCTTGCATATATTGTAGAAGTATCACGAACGTATAAGGGTGAGACGAAGATGTGGAGAACGGAGTAGGTATTGTCTAATTTGCCGTTGAGCGGTTTGTGGGTCTCAATGCGAAGGTGTGGCACGGGGTGGTATGATTTGATATCCATTCGAGGTAAACGCCCAGCGATATGTTGACGACCTGGTGGAACCTTTCGTTTTTTTATTGAGCTGGAACATTGACAGGTAGAAAACTGTAGATTCCTCCAGGGATGCTAGAACAACTTCGGCGCGAATTGCAGCTTACTTGAGATAAAGCAATACCTTCCGCAGACGACCACCTGATGGGCATTCCACTTTTTCAAAACAACCCATTGCCTAACTAGATAAAGCGCAGACAGGTTTATCTTTCCATTTGATGCCTCTGGTTTCGTAATTATTGACTTTAGGAAAAATTTTAAAGAAAAGCTTAACTGGACCGCATAACGACATATTTTTTACACTACATTTTATTAGGAACACAAACATTTTTTTCTTATGGGTCATTACTAAAAAATATGGCATACAAAAGAATCCGCTCTGGCATTCATCTTTTTCCCTGAGCATATTTTTTAAATTCTACAATAGTAAGGCTAGAGACAGAGAATTAAATGTTTCTTCAATTACAAGGAGCGGTATCAGAACAAACTATCGGTAAGTCGGTACCAAAAACAATTTTGTGTGAATGAAGGAATATGTCAGTCAATACAATGGGGGTTTACAGTAGAGTTGAATTCCGTAGTTCTAATTTCATAAGCGTGTACGTGAAAGCATAAAACATTTTTTTGGACAGTAAAAGTTTATTTAAAAATAGTGGCTGATTAGGAAAAAAATAATCAGATGTGCGGTTTTAAGGGTTTATTCAAAACGATATGATTGTGGCGGGCTCTGTGACGTAATAAGCCCGACCAATCAGCTCCTAGAACCATTCAGATGACATAACGAATTGGCAATATTGCAGGAGAATGTCATTTGTAGCTTGCGTCACCTGTCACAGGCACTTGCCACTTGTCATTCACTTTCGCGTCAGACGGCTGTGCTTTATACACTATAAAAAATATGTAAAGTCAATGGTTATACATGCCTCGTAAAACGTCAAATCCGACAAACGTCAGACCCTCGCACAAGGTTTCCGGTTCACTTCTACGTGGTTGGTTGTAGGTTTGTGACGTATTTAGACTGAAGCGTTTCAAATTCGGTTTTATTTTACTCGCAAATAAAAATGGAGGACACACGGGTCTTTGTAGATCAGAAATAAAAAATGAAGCCGGGACATAGGTACATCCGTAGGACACATTCGGCTAATGTAAATTGTCCGAGGTCACAGGTTTGCCGAAATTGGACCGAGATGTATCCCTTGACGTAAGCTCAACGTGCCTAAATAACTAGTTCGTAAAGTTCTTTATCTATATATTTATTGATAATGATTACAAGACACTAAAAAGAACAAAAACCAAGATGTGGATGTCGATTGCTGCTGAGCAAGTACGATTGCGTAAATACCCAACTTCTATTCGACACAGCACAGTTTGAAGTTTGTAGGATGTGGGACGCAAGCTTGCTGCTTTTCGCTAAACGTAGATAGATCACAAACTGTTTCTTTACTTTTATTAGGTCCGGTACATTGAAAGTATGAACTGCATTCGGATCCACGGTACTTATATGGACTCGCAACGACACAGGTGGGCGGACCGTATTTAAACCCTGAAAACAAAACTTACATCGGGCATAATTTTATTTCATTATTTGCTTACTCGATGGACATCCTACTGTATTCTTAGCTGAAAAAAAGGAGAAAAATATGTAATGATTAAGTCTTATCTGCGATCTTCGAGGACTTACACACAGGCGGACTAAGTGGAGGAGCAATCCTAAAAAAGATTGAAGTAATTACTGAACTTTTTGAAGAAAAGCGTACTTACGTTGGTGTGGCACAGCAGCACTTCGTCGTTGGTACTTCGATAACGGTGTTTAACTTACATGACGGTGAACTAATTGTTATAGTCTTGGCAGCCTGAATTCCAACGAAAGGAGATACGCAACCAAATAAAAAGATCTGCAACGAACAAATGTAAAGGAAATAGTAAATATTCCTTGGCTTACCAAAAAACTAGCCCTCATGTTGTTTTTCAGCTTATGTGGCAAGTGAGTAGCGTAGTGGCAAAAAGTTTACTTTTATATTGCTTATCTCTAGATCATATTTATTTTTGCAAGTAAACGTGTTGCTTCCAAAAATTAAACAAACCATTTCAAGTGGGATTTGGTTGTCCTTAACTTACGACCCGTGAAAGTACCATACTCTTACAGGACCTTTTAGAGCTTTTTTCGAATCGTTTAATTGTGAACTTTTGAAAAACTATGTCAAGGAAGAAGTTATAGATATGCTTACTAACACAGAGCATCGGACACAACTGGTTCCCTTTAAAAACTAAAAAATAAGCAATTCGGGCTTATAGTTGCAGTTGCAGTTGCAAATCAATTTTGCAATTAGAATGAGAATAGAAGAAATTAACAAATTTTCAAAACTGTTTTTCTGTATGTCTCAAACATTATCATCTCATTTACTTATGATAAGATGTAAAAGGTACTACGTATTCAGTCTCTAGAAAATGTTGAGATTTCCTAACTTGGTGGGTATATACATTATCATAATACTTGCTAAATATGACAAATATTTGCTTTACTGAACGTTATTAACAAAAAACAGGGTGATGCATGCAGTAAAACCTCTTGATCCGACAAACCCATGTACCTTTTACGTTTTCCACTTATCACCTTAAGTAAGCTGGCATGTGTGCTCTTTCAATAATTACTAATCTCATTTTTGAAAAATAAAAAATGTAGATTACAGTATTTAGAATATACTCTCAAGGAATTATTGAAATAAATTCTCTTTTTCGTAACTACTCCTGCAGTATAAGTATGATGCGCATTATACAATCCCCCATCTCCATTTAAGCGTTAAATTCTACAGATAATGAACTTCCATAACTGGACATGCACATTTTGTGTCCTTAGTGTAATGTATTGGTCAATCCTTATTCCGGTCAAATCGTACCCAAGTAACACAAATAGTTGGCTTTCGCATGGCGCTACATTGGCCCAATATTTGAACGTTGGATCAATATTGACAATGTATTTTCAATGCTGACACTATATTGGCAATACTGGATAGTGCCAATATATATTGATCAAGATTGGGTCAATGATGGGCCGTAATGTTTTGGCCAATATTTGTTCATTCAAGGTTGGCTCAATATAGGAGTATCTATATAGAACCAAGATTGTTTCACCACATTGGTGCAATGTTGGTGATATATTGGCCCAATATAGGAGTATCTATATAGAAACAGGATTGTTTCACCATATTGGTGCAATATTGGTGACTATTCAATTCATCTAACATTTGTCACATTTCGACCAGTGAAATGTCGAGATTTCAAATTGTTGAGCCAATGGGAACGAATTATAGTGATAATTTCACGTGTGGTATTTCAGCGATAATTTCACGTGTGGTATTTCAGCGACAATTCAATGCGATTATTTAATGACATTTGTCAAACTTCCACCAGTGAAATGTCGCGAAATTTTGTCGTATTAACCGGAACATTCTTCTTAGTTTGTTAATCAATTTCGACAACCCACTTATCACCACATCTTTTAATTTAATCACTCATAACGAATTAGCTTGGAGCACAAAAGTTCGAATAGAATCGATAGCAAAATGAAAAGCAACTTCCGTAATTTATTTTGACATTTATTGTTGTCATGGAAATACATTCGCGTGGGTAATTATGCTTAATTTTTCTTTTGATTCATTGAATAGTCCTCCGAATACCATTCGTAGTCGAAGTATTTCTAGATTATTTTTGAGCTGCTGCTCCACTCATGCTAGTTACGCTTTTTAATACCACTCGCGCAAGCGCTCGTGGTATTAATCAGCGTAACTAGCATTCGTGACAGCACCTCAAAAATATTCGACAATACTTCGACTACTTATAGTATTATATATGATAAGTCGTTCACCCAATATTAAATTCACAACATTGGCTCAATCTTGGCATTTGAATATAGAATCAAGATTGTTTCACCATATTGGTGCAATGTTGGTGATAAATTGGGCCAATGTAGGAGTATCTACATAGAAACAAGATTGTTTCACCACATTGGAGCAATATTGGTGATAAATCGTTCACCAAATATTAAATTCGCAACATTGGCCCAACCTTGGCATTTCACTGGTATTTATGTTGTGAATTTTTCTCTCTTCAATTGTTACGACGCATGCGTGATGATAAGAAGCTGTCCTTCTGCTGGCGGCCCGCGACGCGAGTCTGAAGTAATGGCCGCTACGTTTCATTTTCTTTTCGTTTGTTTAAATTTTATACTGTGATGAAAGTGTAGTTTGTTGACGATTGACGATCTCCATGTGATATTTCGATTTTCAACGATAAATAATTCTTCAGTTTTGCTGATCAGGTAAGTTTCCTGTGCATGAATTGTATTATCGTAAGCAATTGGCAACTTTGCTACATATTTCTGGTCAATATGGCGCGTCGAATGCATCTAGCTAAGGCTATAGCGAGGTCTCTGACTGCAGTAATTATGCTTGCTTTGCGCTTTCTGCAGTGTTCTTTATTATTTGTGGATTCGCACATTCTTTTATTATTATTTGATGATTGCTTTTCCCGTTTTCGTAATAAGCCGTGATGAATTAATACGACTGAAATTAAGATTTTTTCTAGGTGCAATAACATACAAATTTACGAATACAACAGATTTGGATATCGGGAAACTGTTGAGCAATATGTTTGCAACTAATGACGACTGGCAGGGTGGAAGAAAAATGAGAAGGCAAGAAAATCACTCACATTTTTATTTAAATATATTTAAAATATGGAACTTGGATTGCTACTTTTTCATTAAACTGATACTATAAATAACCATGGCTCTAATTATTTCTACAGTCCTAACTGATACAATGGTGATAATTATTTAGGCAAAGTTGTTTTTTGGGTTGGTCCAACATCTAATGCAATGTTGGCGCAATGTTGTTTCAATATTGGGGATTACATTGGCGCAACATAAATTACTATGTTGGGCCAATACAAATTGCTAAGTTGAGCCAACATAAATTTCTATGTTGGTCCAATATAAATTGCTATGTTGGTCCAATATTCTTTTCCATATCGGCCCAATATTTCCAAGCGTTCACATTTTATGTTGGGCCAATCTCGATTTCCAATACTGCACCAATATGTAAACATATTTTAGCCTATATTGGGCCAACATTCTGTGCTGCTAATCCGTTTTGAAAATGAATCCTCCGCATACACCATAGACTCAACGTACAGGCAAAATCCATTACCCACGAATTTGGCTCTTCATTCACCTATGAATGCTATATATGCTCGTTTTTGAATAGTAGATCCTCTATTGCTGATGCTAATTACACTCACTCCAAATGATTTCTCATGTGTTTAAATAAGTAACTTTATCATCATTTCTAACTCTTTTTTTGTCTACACGACTTAGATAAAATTGGTTGCACTGGTGGGCAAATATATTATTATTATTACGAAGTATCACGGCTTCCTATAATAGGGTAGGTAGATGATGACAAATTTTTTTAAACCAGTTATAACTGTTCGTATACCTCTACTATAACTTTAAAATATGATATTTCAGCAAAATAAATCATATTATTGCAAACCTATACAATTTAAATTGTAGATTTTTATTCTAGCGCCAAAACGTGTGTAATGGCGGTGTCTGGGACGTCACAGTCCTGACAATTATAAACACATGTAACCCCAGCGTAAATACTTTAACAGATTTCGTGATGAATTATAACTACCGTAAGTGGTGCCCTACCATGGAATACACTTTGTCGTGGTGTAGGGCTCAGTAGTAACATTTTTCTGTGGCACAGCTAAGTATCCCAGGCGGGTAAATCTGGTTCCAAGGATGCTGTATCATTCAAATGCTTCATGGAGTAGAGAAATCCAAAAGGGTTTTCGACGATTGCTCATTAAACGTAATATAGAAAACTATATTGACATGAGTAGCACATTTTTCACGCACGTTAACTCCTGCGGGGTGCGGTAGACGACAATTTGGACAACTTCCGAATCCGATTGAGCCATTTGTCGATAGAGTTTCGAATAATCGGACTAGATCATGACTTGTTAAACGTGATAAAGGAGACTTTATCGACACTAGTACTCCTTTGAACTCTAAGGGGTTGTAAAAGTAGCTTGATGGTAGGGTAAAGAAAATAATTGTTTTCTTCGTCGACAACTAAGAAAACTGCATACAGCTTTGGGTGAACCGTATTTTGCGGGCAAATTTTGACTTAACTGTGAATAAGTTGCCAGAGTCTTCTGTTCGACTGCACCCAATGTAAGGTTCCATAAGAGTACCCGCCATAAAAATTGGTTTTCCAAAAAAATTTGTTTTAAGAACTACTTTATAAATTTAGACCTTTATCTATAAAATGTTCGTAACAGAAAACTCTTAAAGTGGACATAGCTTACTGAATCATCTCCATATGATAGCTTCGATGACCTAAAAACAAAGCATCTTAAGTACACATTCCTCTTAAATAACTACATTTCTTGTAAAAAATCTAAGCTTCACTTAAAAACCTACAAGACTTATGGCAGTTTTCTGATGAGCAAAAATCTGTGTTTGATGCAAGAAATATTCCCAACATCATTTCATCAATGTTTGGCAAATTTGCTGCTATCAGCTTTCGTATACCCACTTTCCATTCTTATTTGGTATTAAAAACTAAACTTTAGGATAATATAATCACTATAAAATGGAACATGCACTAAATTAAAAAAACGTAGACAAACTTTACAAGCGCACAGAGGATTAGGATAATGACGTCACGCGCTCTGATTGGCGTTTGATATCACGTGACAAATGTCGTTATTTTTTAATTTTAGTTTTACTAAAATATAATAGTTTCTCGTGTACATTACCAAAGAATAGTATATTGAAAGACAAGTGTTACAATGCCACCTATTGTAATACGACTATTTTGTGTATTAGATACGAGTATTACAATAAAGCATTGTAACACGTGTTTTTCATACTATTTTTTCTATTTCAGGGCTTTAATTTAATTAAAAAGTAATTATGAAAAACTACAGGAAACTTTAGAATTAATATGTCTTAAGTTGGCAACACCATTTACGTTGACAAATTTTAAGTTGGCAGCGTAGATAAACACAACACTGACATTAACTTTAAATTCCGTGAATGTGTAATTTTTTATTCGTAGATAAATTTATTTATGGTGGATGTGTAAACTGCTGATTTGGAATGTATTAAGTTCTT